CGGGCATAAATTGTACGAGTTTTTGCTCTTTGCAGGTCAATTCTCCAGTTGTGTAGAATTTTTTGGATTGGGCTGAGTTTCAGCCTCATTGTGCGTCCTGTGTTTTGTTGTATACAGGGGGTAACGGGGGGCGATCAGCCTCTCATGACCACCTCTCAGTCGGTTTTTGTGAGGTACTCATGGGCAAATCCTGCTGTTGAAACAAAGGTACGAGCGACTATGAGCTGATTTACCTCAACCGCGCCCGTTGCACATCTGCAAACAAGGGAGTTCTTCTTTTCCCAGACTAATGAGTTCAACCAGCAGCATCTCAGCGCTGAGTCAGAGGGGTGGTTTTTGGACAAGTAGTGTGAGCAGAGAGATTGCCTCAGAGCATCAGGCCGTACAGTGTAAGAACATACATCATGAGCTGTGATTTTTTTTAAACACTGTGGTTTTGTCGTACAGTTTGAGCTGTAGCTGCGTAAAAGGATTAAAGATATCGTACACTGTCGTACCGCCCAGCAGACTGGCAACCTGTTCACGATGAACCTGCCTTATGCTCATAGACTGCTGGAGTCACCAGCCCCACCGTGACCCTCATAGATAAGAGGAAGAAGATGGATGAATGTTTTGCATTTTGTGTTTTAACTTTAGTCTGTAAGGTTTCTGGTGTCTTGAAAAGTACAGAGTGAATTTTTAGGGGGAAATGCAAAACTCAACCTGCAATTGATAAAAGAAAACTGTCGACTCTTATTTGATTTTTTTTTTTTTTTTTTTTTTTTTTTGTGTGAAATGGTAAATGATCTCTATTTGTATAGATTCTTTTCCAAACTTCACCATTCATTCAGTCATTCAATCACACACTGATGGTGGTAAGCTACATTGTAGCCACAGCTGCCCTGGGGCTAATTGATAGAAGCATGGCTGCTGTACACAGGCGCCACCAGGCCCTCATCGCAGTGGGACTGTCTCATCCAAGGACAGAACTACTGAGACAAGCTCACCTGGGGTTCAAACCAGAGATACTACAGCTCCAGAATGACCTTCTGCATCCTAACCCACTGTCGCCCTGTGCATGGTTGGCTGTGTCAGTATTTCCATTGCATGAACTTGGAACTGGAGCATAGGCTCCATATGGACAAGCCATTCAAATCTGGGGGGTAGAGACTTATAGACTTAGCTGGTAAATGAAATAGCAATCGCAAAGGTGCTACCTACTTCCTTCTCTATTTGTTTAGGGATTTGTCCTTTGTTTTGGGTGTTAGCCTTTACACTCACTGCGCTCCATCACGATGGCTGACTGCTGACAAGAATTAAAGGACAAAGCAGAGGTCGTAATTTGGTCATAGATTGGAAAAACAGATACAGGGAGGGTGGAGAGATCTGCCCGGAATATTATTTAGCTTGGAAAGAAGAATAAAGTTAGAAAGGAAGGGATTCCCCTCATTAAAACCACTCCCAGTTTGGTTGATTATGGAGCGTGCTGGCTGCTGCTGCTGCTGCTGCTGGCTTTCACACCAGGATGCTGTGGTCAACTGAGCTGTAAATGACTCACAGTAAGACAGGAGAAAATGTTTTGCTGCTCATCGCGTGTTTGAGGCAGACCGTACGGCCTGTGAGTATGTGTTTCCACTTGTTCACCTGGGTGTGAAGTCTGCTTGTTTTTACATCTGCGTGTACAGTACCAAGCCATTTGGATGTAATTTTCTCTGTTTACCCGTGTGCCAAAGTGTGCCTTCACGTTCACCTAAACTTGCTTATATATACATCTGTTAAAGAATCCCGATTGAACGAGCCAGCTTCAGAGTTCCCTTGGGCTATCTAATAAATCCTGCCCGTGAAAATAAGCCCAATGTCCAAAGCCCAGTAAGTAATCTAGCAATCCTGTCTGAGCCGCATCAGCAGGAGATATTACCAGGTAAACTGCCAGCTTGTATCAACAGTGTTTCTCCTGAGAGAGATGACTCATCCCAGTGTAATATTTCCCTCCAGATTGTTTAATACAAGCAGGCGCTCTTTCACTGGATCACTCCTGTTGAGCTAGTGCGCTCTCATGTTTAATAAGATGTTCTGAGTCAATCCACCAGGCCTGGAAAGATCAGAGTATCCCTGTGTGTCATTTCATCATGTCATACATCACGTCTTTCTCAAACCCTTTAGTTTAGTCTCTCTCACATTTTTTCCCACCATCTCTGCCTCTATCTGTTGATCTTGTCATTTATCACCTCCTTCCTCAGTTCCTCCGTATTCATTTCCCTTCTCTCTCAAGCCCCATTTATCCTCCTTTTACCCCAACTGAACCCCGAGCCCAGTGTTGTCCCTCATTCCTGAACATGCTAAGGTTTACCATTTCATCTATATCTGCATAAAAGAATCAACACTTAGGGTTTCCCGTGAGGGGAAACTCATTCAGGTCGAACAGATGTTTTCCTAATTAGAGGCCAATTTGTGGCAAATGTCCGATCTCGATTCGGGAAAGCCAAATCTTAGATTCTTTTATTTATACTTTCCTAATTATTTCTCAAGGATGATAGAGAATAGTGTCTCTCAGATGCACCTATAGATATTTAACCAAAAATAAAGAGTGAAAACATATCCAAGTTTTTTTTTCTTCCACGTTTAAAATACCAGTGTATTAGAAGAAAGAAAAAGCAGCTGTTTTACAATTCTGTTGGGATAATTAAGCTATAATTTAATGTTTTTGTATAACTTCAGTATCTATTATAATAATTAAGAGACCAGAGATCAACAGATCCAGTTATTTTTAAGGCCAAAACCGTTAACATTAACTAAATTGATCCATGGTGCGTTCTGCTGAATTATTTCTTTACCTTCCTCCGTTGGATGATAAAGATAATAGTGATAACAAATGGTACTCAGGTCTCATTTTACAGAAAAGGAACTATTCATTAACAAACCAAACAAAACATTAACAATGAAGGTGGAGGGAGCAGCAATGCTTGACTTGAACTCCAGGCATTGCTGCTGAAAGCTGCACTCAATCGGCCAACATGATGCATGTACAGCAGTAGCCATTCCAAAGTTCCCCACTTTCCTTGATGGGCAGTTGGCTGGTCCTTGGCTGGTCCGCTACAATTCCTTTTTAAACATCAATCTTTGTACTAAAATATTCTTTCTGTCATGATTTGTGGACATTAAGATTTACTGGGAGAAGCATCATCTCCTGGTCAGCACCAGTAATAATTTCTGACCAGGAGAGTAACAAGGGCGACAGTGGCGTTGGATGTAGGAGTTTGCCCTGAAATCGAAGGGTTGACTGTTCAAGCCCCGACTCCGACTTTCAGTGTCGTTGTGTCCTTGGGCAAGACACTTCACCTGCATTGTCTACTGATGGTGGTCAGAGGGCCCGGCGGCGCCAGTGTATGGCAGCCCCGCTTCTGTCAGTGAGCCCCAGGGCAGCTGTGGCTACAATGTAGCTTGCCACCATCAGTGTGTGAGTGTGTGCGTGAATGAATGTAGTGTAAAGCGCTTTGGTCAAGGCTCCAGACTTGAATAAAGGCGCTATATAAGTACATGCCATTTACCATTTACCATTTTGTAATTCAATGAAAGGATGGAGTAAAAAAAATATGCAAGAGGGGCTCACTCCAGTGGCGTTGGAGGGGATTTTGCTTGGAATTGGAGGGAAGTGGCAATCGCCTTGTCTTTGACTTGGAAGGGCCATTTTGAATGGCTGCCACTGTATTGGCCTTTAAAAAAGCTAATATCAGCCAGTGGGTGTATTGGTCTATCGCTAATAAAGACAATGACTTTCTGAGATTAATCATTAGATTTCTTCATTCAAGGAGTAGAGTTGGCCTTAAACAGCCGGAGAGAGCAGGCGGTGGTATGCAGCCCTGCATTTAAACCTGATTTACCAGAGTTTTTCAAAAGGTATTCATTTGAGTTCAATTCAGGTTAACTGAATTCAGTTCAGTTTATTTATAAAGGGGTAGATGATGGGGGAATGTCAATATTTCTTTAGTCTTCTTTAGTCTATTTCTTTAGTCTTCAAAAGAATGAAGATGAGTAACTTTGAAATAACAGCTTAGACTTTCTGCCATGGGCTGAAGTCTTACTTCCTGTCTCCTGCAGCTGACAATCCTCTTTCATGTACCCTCATATCATTTTCATAACATCCCACTGACACTGAGATGAGCTAAGAATCAATCTCCTTCCTCAGAATACCTACTTCCACACTGAAGAGTGTTCTTGTCAGGAAGTTGAGCTTATTTCAGCCTTTCCAAGGCTAATACACCTTCACATAAATTCTAATGTCTCTTTAAAGTGCTTTTTCGGGATCAACATTATGTTTTTTTTATATTTCATCCTTGAAAGGCTTTCTTATCCAAGATGTTTACATTAGTTAGATGTTTATATTGTGTTTTTTCTTTTACACTTTATCTTTTGAGGGAATCTCTTTCAAATCTGTCTTATATAGATTGCAAATGTATACCACAGCTTAAAGAAAGTAGATGTAAGCTTCTTTTTTCTTTGATTTTTTTCCAAATCTGGATCTAGAGAAAAAAGTGTTTATTTCGATGTTTCAAAGAAGCTAGGATGGTATTAGTCATAATTTTCCCAGTGGACTCATCAGTTTGTGTTTTTCTTGAGATGATAAGCTTTCCTCTGTTTGCAGCTTCACTCAGTTTCAGTAATTTCAACTAAAGCCTTCTCTTGTCTTTTTGTTTCTCTTTTTATGTCCTTCAGACTCCAGTTAAATGAAGGTTTAGTTGCAAATTGTTTTTCTGCTGTCCTCATATATTAATACATGACATTTTTCATCCTGAAATGGAACAAACCATCTAAAATGTGCATTAGTGGCACAGAGCTAATGCTGTAAGCTGTACAAATATAGATTCTTGTTAAAACTTTTATTTTTTTCTTATCCAAATGAATGGACTTCTGTGTTTTTTTATTTTATGCATATGTTTCATCAGAAGTTAAAATCTGAGCTTTTAATTTTCTTCTACCCAAAATAGATTTTAGTAAATCTTGTCTCTCATTTATCTCCTCAGACCAGCTTGAGTCTGCTTCCGTCCTCCTGACCTTGAAAGATGCGCTGGTGAAAACTGGACTGAGGGACCGGAGCCACGTGCTCCTGGGACCCTTTTCCTGCAGCAGCTCCATTGAAGCTCGGTGGTGTCGGCACAGCGGCAGCCCTGGACCAGAGCCCGGCCCTCCCAAACTGCTCCTGGACCTGAAGGGAGGTCTGCTGCAGGTTTGTGGGACTTCAGTTCATCTCCCTCAATCATTAGATTTATTTCCCAGCCCAGCTGCAGCTCCTGGAGGTCGGTGTTAGATCGTTGCCTCTGCACCTGGTAGAAAGTGAGAGCGAGGAAGAGTCTTTCACTAAATGATAAATCTGAAATCATCTGCTATGTGTATTTATTTCATTTAGAGCTCCAGTGGAGACTACTTTAGCTCTAAGTCACCTCCTCTGGTTAAGTAGTGGAATATTTTAGATCTATTTATAGAGTGAAGTTATCTTATGCTCCTTTTTCCCTGTTAGAAGTTGCATAATGCACACAGTGAAAAGTCCCCTTTCAATGTGGCTAAATGTTCACATATTTTTCTTTAAGTAATATTCCACATTACTTTCACGGGGGGAACACCCTTGCTCATGTTCAGGTTTCCTTAATGCTTTTATTGCATGTCCATTAACAGGAAAATCACTTCCAACTCAGCACTTAATATGTAATCATACATTTCCCTCTCCAAATGTTACAGTTTGTGCTGTTTTGATCAATCGCCGCACCAAAACCACCGGAATTTCTTCCGATTTTTTGTTCTGTCTTTAAGGATAATGTTTCCAAAAAAACTCAAAGGGCTAAAAAAAAAAATCCCCAAATTTTCCTGTTTTTTAGGAGTTTAGTTACAACCCACTCCTGCGAGTTACTAAGTGGTGGGCAAGCACGCAGGCAGCTGTGTGTGTGAAGTCGTTGACTCAAAGATTCCTAACCCTCGGTTCAAATCCCAGCCGCGTTCACGGAGCAAAGGAAGGGGAATGCCACGGGTGAACGGGGAGAACATCAGACTGTGTTGTGTAACCTGAAAGTGGAAATGTGGAGCCCAACCTCACTGCTTTACTGCTGGCTTTGGCAATGGAAGTGATAATCCACATTTTAGGAAAATAAATCAAAGTCAGGGTTATTCTGTTACTTTGATTTTTCAGGAGAACTTCCTTTCCTTTGTTCATTTCTGCTTTTATATATTTTTATTTCTTTCAAACAGGTTTTTTGGGGCCAGGAACATTTCAACTGTCTGATGCTGGTGGAGGAGCATCTCCGTAAATACCTCCATCTCCACAAAGAGGATTCCAACACCAGTTGGTCTAAAGGGAAGGCCTGTCATACCCAGCCTCCTCCCTCTCCGGTCGCTCCGTCTCCGAGGACAGAGCACAGCTCAGATGATCTGCGAACAGGAAACTTTCAATACATTCAGGACTCAGGTAAACATTCATAGAGTAAACAGTCCAGATAGAGCGAAGGTATTCACTCTCCCTGATATCAACAGTCTTTTTGACTGATCTTCAGTTATTTAAAAATACTAAATTCATAAATGTAAAGCAGAAGGAAAAATTGGGCCATTCTAATATAATCTATGAAAACGACGGGTACATTGCAGTGGCATAATGGCAACACAAAATAATACAAGAGAATGAAAGTGACTCATTAAAAAGATTACTAGATTAAAAAAAGGAGAACAAAAGTTTGGGTTTTTACCATCTAGTTCATCAGATGGAGGCTCTGGTGTAAAGCTGGGATCATGCGTCACACGGCGCCTTGGATGATGCCAGAAAGTTCAAATTTGGTTTCATCTGCCCAGGGCATCTTCTTCCCCCTGGTTCTTTATGGGGTCAAATAACTATCAAAAATGTGTGCATTTGTTAATGTATGAATTTATAAAAGTCAATAAATGCAAATAAACTGATGGTTTGGATTTGTTCTTCTCTGTCTAATCATACATAGATGGAATATCAGATGTTTCATTTGTGAGAATACAAATAACAAAGTTCCACCAACTGGTGAGCAGCTTCATCAGCTTTCATGCTCGGAAATTTTTGATTTTTAATTGTAGATTGACAAAGTTCCAGCTTTGTAACTTGTATTTGTGTCCTCTAAGATTTTACGCCTCATGTATGATTTAGAAACAAGTGCAAATGCAAAACCCAAATTCATTTATTTTTATTAGCTGAGATTTATTAGTTTAGCTTTTATTGATAGTTATCTCACCCCATAATTCAACATTTCTTTGAACAATTTTCTGAGCATCTCTGCTGCTCTCCTAGACTCACCAGCTCTTGTTGACCACCAGTTTTACATGATGGGTTGATTAGATTTTTACATGTATGTTTTTTTTTAATCCATGAACATTGTTTTTAATCAAACCCTGATGTCTTTAAACTAATCCCCACCTCTCTGCCTCATCAATCAAATGTTTTCTAACAAACTACTGGGTCCATTTAGAGGGCAGCTGTACTTCCGCTGACATTAAACTACATTCTGCTCAATCTACTAACAGGACCTCTACAGGCTACTGCTGACTTTGTTGCCATATACTAGCATTTTACAAAACCGTGTATTTGTTACCTTAATTTTTTCACTTCTTTGGAGTGGTATAAACTCTTACAGACTGTGATTGAAGGTAAATGTTCGCTGACAGCGGTTTAAGTTTCACACCTGCTCTAAGAGGTGACGTCCCTTCCTCTACATTTGTTTCCAGGGGAACTTGTGGGATGAGGTGATAATCGTATGCCTTCCTCCAGCCAAGCAACTTTATCTGTTGTGTCACAAGCAAAGTAAAAAAAATAAATATATTTATATTTTTTTGCTGTCAGATGTGACTGAAACCAATCAAGGCTTTATTGGTTGACCAATTATAGGAGAGTTCCCAGCAATAACATCAGCTGTGATATTAGCATTGTAACGATGCTAACATTTTAAACTCGATATCTAACCCCAGGAAAATATTCAACACTCAATAACATTTTTGATATCATGGCGATAAGAAATGACACTCGGCTTTTTAAACCTGAACATTGAACAAAAGGATAACTGATGCTAGTTAAATAAAAGCTGATTTATTCTCAGAAACCAGGTCGTCTGCGTGTGTCACAGTCAATGCAAATGTGCCCCCCCTTCCACAAAAACTCTGCTGCACCTCTCATAAATTGTAGGTGACCGCAGACAGTGCCGCAGAGAGGAGGCCTCTGATTGGTCAAATCTACATCTGCCCTACACTATGCGTATTTCCTGTTTGCCACCTCATCAGCTTGTTTCTTTTGTATCACCGCCATTGCGGAAAACGACTCTTGAAGACGGACCAGCTAGAAGAGCGAGGTGCACGAGAATGCTGGGACCCTTTTTCCGCCTGGATCCCCGCTCTTTTGCATCGTCATCCCCTCAGTATGCCCCCACTTCCTCACCTCCTCGGCCGTATCTCGACCCACAGCTAGTTCCCGATTGTCCCTCTTGCGCTGTAGCGTGGAATAACATATTGCAGACCACGCTTCAACATTGGGCATAACTCAAAGATATCTGAGACCAGCTCACTGCGACACACTGCTGCAGGAGGATAACCAGTCCTTAAGTGTGAAAATAAATGAAAAATATAACCCAATTTGACAATATTTCAAGGTTTTTTCAGGTGTTAATCTTTGATTGTAGCAAAAACAGGCAAATAACACTAGTCTTTAATCACACCATGTCTAATTATTATTTTCTTCAGATCCAGGGTTTGAGTATTGATGCTTTTAGCAATCTTAGTCTTCATCCTTCATGCCTTGTTTGACAGACTGGTTAAAAAAGGCCTGAATTCCTTCAATTTCATAACCAGTTTTCGTAATCAGTATTCCTCAGAGACGGGGGACCAGAGAGCAGGATTTACAGCAGCTACCGTCGTTAGTTACTCCCTGTGTGTCACGCCTTTTAGCAAGGGTGTAACTTTGAGATGAAAGCTGGTGGGGACACTCGGGTGGGGGCTGATGGACCTACAGTTACTCAACCCCGACATTTTCATTAGGTTTTTGTATTTTCCAAAAATGAGCTCAAATATATATCTATTGAATGCTTTCCTATTGTCCACAACACAAGAGAACCATAATACACTGATATGTATAGATAGTTAGAGAGATGCCTTTTATTGCATTACATATACAGGGCTCAAAAATGTTTTTATTATTGTATTTAAAATAATGAACAGCCGATTCCGATGCCAAAATCATGCATCCCTAGAAATACCATTTCAATTCCATCCATCCAGAAAAATATGGATATGCTGCATTTTGAATATAGCATAGCATATTTTTTTCTTGTAAACTTTCTGGTAAACTTGTAAATATATTTTATAGCACATTGCATATCCCAGTAAATCTGTTTCACCTTTAAATCTGCAGCTCTTCCTACTTCTCTCTGTGCTCTGTTTAAAAAGATTTATGAACCTATTTACTAATATAATGATGCCAGAAACAAAAATTCAAGATATGTTGAAGCTCTGCAGTCTGATTCTGTTTGTTCAATAAGAAACAAGTAGATTTTAACCTGTAGCTGTGAGTCATGGTCCTCTGAGAAGCCAAGTTGTGATACCAACTTTTATAAACTTATAATCTGTTGCCATTTTTTTGCCGAAAAAGCTCCATATGTCAATCGAACAGAGTTTTCGGTGGCATCAAATTTTTTTTTACCCAACCCATCTTTTAACTTTTACCTAAACATGGAAGTATCTGCCAGTTAAAACTCACTGAGTGCTGCTGTGTGTCTCTCCTCCAACCACGCAGCTACTCTCTAAGCAGTGAAATGCGACCGCAAATCAGATGTCTCAAAGTGACACATCCGATGATGTCACGCCGAGATGCGGGACACGGGAGCAGCAGGAGAGAGGAAGAAATAAAAACACTGACTCAAAATGCTCTGAACACAGATAGCTGCACCCAACTATTACCTGTGGCTAAAGGAAATGAGCAGAAAGGGGAAAACAGCAGAAATTATCGGTGGGGACTTGTCCACACCAGTCCTTCAGAAAGTTACGTCTGTGCATTTTAGAAGGTATCCTGCCTTGTTCAAGAGTCAGAATTAAGTTAATACAGCAGCATTCATTCACCTTTATGTATAAAAGTCCAAAACAAAAAATGTAAAAACATTTAAAGGAACTTTAATTGAAACTTAAAGCAAAGAAGTTAAAAGGCACTAAAGATGCACATCAGCTTAAAACTGAGTTGGATCAAAGGTCTCTGTTAAAAGAAGTTTCATCAGGCATGTCCGCCTGTTTCCACTCTAAGTAACTTTGTGTTTATTCCCGATCTTTGTGCTTTGTGTTGCACACACAGACAGACACTCACATCAACATACACAGAGGATCAAACTTCTCTCTGGCTGAAGACCAGCCATCCACTCTGTCAGCTGTGGTTGAGTCTTTGTTTGTTGCACTGTTCCTCTGCGCTTTGATGCATTTAATATTCTGGCTGAGGCAGGAGAACTTACAGTGGTGAACTGGAACCGAGAGGACAGTCTGTCTGCAACATGTTGTCAACAGTGAGAAAAGTCAGTGCCCCCGAAGTGCAGAGACGGGCTATTGGTCCCCCAGGACCCCATTCAAAGATGGCTGGGTTTCATGAACCAAGCAGAGGCGGTTGGAGGAGATGGGGGAGCAAACCAAACTAACAGTAAAACCTTGTTGTTTTTTTCTTTCATCAACATTTTTTAACTAGTGTGAAGTTTCCAGCGAAAAGGCCTGAAGGGTTTGACATGTAGAGGGAAGTTAGCGAGGAGCAGAGGGGGGGCGGGGGGGGGTTCCACCCCAGGGGTCAGACAAAGCATCAGTTCCCTGTTTGCCTTTATCCCTTTCCCTGAATAAACACGAGTCCCAAACAGCAGCTTAGAAGAAAGTCAAACATCACTCCGGAGTTTAGGTGCTGTGACATCCAGCTATTGCAGGTGCTGGGCACAGTTTAACCAGCAGATGTTTGCAGAAACGCAGAAATGTTTACTAAGGTGCTTTGTTTATGCAGACTTTCTGACACACGTAAACATTTTAGAAAATGCAGGAACAGGGTCTCCAGATTTCTGTTTTTTCTTTTGCTGCACTGTGCAATAGTCTCTAAAAATCACTGGAAATAGCAGGAAATGTCAAAACCGGAAGTCTAAATATCGTATTTAAGGTGTTTGCATTTCAAATATTAATTAAAGTCTAAAAAGGATACACGGCCCTTTAAGACCACGTCACGCCCCTCTACCAGGCAGACTCAGGGAACGACCATAATCATCTGTAAAGATTATTGTCATCCTGAGGAATGAACCAAGTTTGGGGGAAAAAAACGTTTCCAGATTGTTTAAATGCTGGGTTCTGGTTATTCTGATAAAAATCCTAACATAAATAAACCAGCCCCTGTTTGTCCAACTCCTGTAGAATGTCATTGAATTTGTGTTCTGATGTCATTTAAACAAAATATTGTAGATTTCTTTTCTTGACTCTGTGAAACTTGTTAGATCGGATGTTTTCTTGTATAATTTGGAACCCATCTGTGTTTCTAACCGTTTTTCTCTAAAATTCTTTTCCACTTAATCATTAATAAGTTCTTTAGTGAGTCTTTGAGAAACAGAAAAAGGATTGAAGTCATGGCGGACTTGTTGCACCCCCAGATTTTCTTTTTTTTTCCCTTTTTTATGATTAAATATTTCCTTTTTGTTTTTTTTAAATCTCCTTGTTTGTCCTGGCACCATAACTTTGTGTAATTGTCGTAATTCTTTCAGGATCCCAGAAACTGCCAGGAGCCAATGAGGTGGTGTTTTACAGTGAGACGGATGACAGCCCTGGGGTGATGCTGTGGAGGTACCCTGAACCTCGTGTTCTCACCTTCGTCAGGATCACACCTATTCCCTTCAACACCACGGAAGACCCGGACATAAGTACAGCTTATTTAGGAGACGTCCTACAGGTAGTCTGAGTTCACACGCATCTTCTCTGTTTCTGCTCTTCACGTGAACCCCGTTTTATGGAGGGAATTTTGTTCCATTATTGTTGCAAGCAAAGAATCTGTTTTGTAAATATACAAAAGAAACAAAAACCTGTAATCCAGAAATGAAACTTTAAAAAACATTTTAATTACTTAGATTTTGTTTTTCGAAAGAAAAATTTACATTCATTTGTTATATTTTTTTTATTTCAAGTTTTTTTTTTTGTCTATTTTTGCAGTTTTCAGATAAAATTTTTCAAATTATTGTTTCTTTATTTTTTTTTTTACAGTTCTATATTTTTTTTCTCAATGTCTTTTTCTGAGAGAGAGTTTAAGAATTGTTTTCTTTTCCAGTATCATTTTTTCCAGATCCCATTCTCTATAAGCTTTTAGGGGCGGGTTTTCCTCTGGAGTGAGGAATGAAGACACATTTCTATTGGTTTGCTGGACCTTAGCAACAGCATTTTTATTGAGCTTGAAGAAAATGTTATCTGTGAAACAAAATTTAAAAATAATTAAATTTGTAAAACTCAATCAGTGAAACAGAAACTTGAAAAAAATTTGCATATTTCTTAAAAAAGCAAAATAAAAATGTAAACACATTTCCAAAAATAAAACCGGAGATTTTTATGAAAAAAAATAAAATAATTATAAGAAAACCGCAGATTTCCTTTCGAAATGTTTAATTGATAACAATTCATTTCAGTTTCATCTCTGGATTTTTTATTTCAATTTGCTAATTTTTATTTATTTTTTTTGCTTGCAACAATAATGGAACAAAACTCACTCCGTAGAATAAAATTTTGATGGCAATCCCTCAACAAAGCAACGCCAGCAACATCTGAAGCGGCTACATGTAGCATGTATATATTTATCGCTAAGGTTGTATTGGGATATCTGCTGCTGCGGGGTTGTTGTTTATTTTTTTTACAGATGTAAGATGAGAAGAGAATCCACACATCCTCTGTCCCAGATCCCTGCCTAACATCACCTGCACTGAAAGAGAAGTAAACGGTTTTAGATCTGGGCTCTGTGCCACTGTGATTCCCTTGTCAGGAGTCGTGTTACTGAACGACCCAGACCTCTGCTGTCTCTCCAAACTTGTAATACACGCTCAGACAGCTGTGGAAGTCATTCCATGCTCTGGTGTGAATAGCCAGGTGCGTCCAACCCTAGATGAGGTTATATTTTGGCAGTTTGTCGCAGCTACTGAGCCTGCAGGGCCTCGGTGGGGGTTAGAACATCCTTCTTCTTTTTTTCCCCTCTCCTATCACTCATCTCCTGTCTCTCTAGCCACTGCCTCGCTGCCCAAATAATTGCTTTAAATAAAGGATGGATCCCATTTTCTTCTTTTAAACTTCTCCCAGTGTTTTTTTTTTCTGCTGAAGCCAAACACCAGGCTGTCATAGCAACAGTAAGACATGTTTCTTATAACCTTCCAGTTTAGTAATTGTCTTTCTTACCTTTGCACTGACTGTAAATCATGTTTTCCAAGCTGATGAATGACATCCTTGTTGATAGATGAATGTAGCTGTTATTGCTGAATTTAGATTTATTTTAAAAGAAGCAGCTGCAAACCAAACGATTCCTCAACATCTGGATTTTTGCGATATGAGACAAGAATTCAGTAAAAATGTGTTTAAAAAATAATTAGGTCATAAAAAGCTGCAGAAATTACAGTTTCAAACGTATTCGTTCTTTTTTATTTATTGTGATTAATATATGTAATAATAATTACAGAACGGCTTGAATTTCAGTTGGTTTAGAGCTATTTTTACATTACATGATCATTCCTTAATGTTAACTCACATCCCCCTCATTCATACCCCCCCTGCTCTCCATCACCGCTTATCTCCCCCCTTCATTCTTTCGGACTCCCACAGCGGTTCCACCTACAGTGCAGATGTTCGCTCTGTTTATGCGCGCCGGCCCTGGAGAGACAGGACATTGGAAGGTGCTGCAGCTGTGTGACTCTCCAGCGAGGCCCCCACAGCTGTAAAGGCTGCAGTGAGCAAAACACTAAAGCCACTCGCTGATTGGCCACATATTGAGTTACAGTGAGGAATGGATGTGTTTAGAAGTGGGAGGCCTAGAAGATGTAGTTAAAGACGGTAAGGATAAGATCAGGTCGGGGAATGAGAGTTGATCAGAGAAAGGAAGCGCTGGAGATGATGATCTATTCAGGAGGGGAGAATATATCCTTATTTGTCGTCCTCTTCTGTGATATAAAAAAAAGAAAACGGATTAAATCTGAGTTTGTCTCTTCTGGCTGATGATCTGTTTTGTAGAAACTTAACCATACACACAAAAAAAGCCCCTTCCGCAACATCAAAACAATACGTAGTGCCAATCTTTCATTATTTACTCCAGCGTTTGTTTATACTCAGAGCTCATGCCTCTAACTGCCACTACGGTTAACCTAAGTAACATTTTGCTTTGGGTGTCCACACAACAGCGGCAAGACTGGAAACAGAGTTTGATTAACATGTGGTTCCCATATCTCTCTTTTCTTGTCATCTGTCAAAGCATTATCGCATGTGACAGGACTGTTAAAAGGAATCAGGTAATGGGAGTGTAAATGGTACGGTGCTGAAAAGATGACACTCCAGGCAAAATGCTATTACTGGAACTACTTTATAGGGGAATTAGGAGCAGATATTTGCAAGATTTTTTGGAGGAAAAGGAAACATTAACTAAGAAGGAAAATCGGCATTTATTTTATTTTATCTGTACTATCTTTGCAAGGAATCAAGCCATTTGGTTAAGATGCTTCATTTGTTATAAAGCAGAAAGTATTTAAATAGAACTTTTATTATGAAAAACAATTTGGCTGAGCTTTTAAACAAAGTGATGCATGACAAGAAATCTGTCAAGACTCAGTATACAAGCAGAAAGACAGCATGATATCTCATAATTTGTTTATTGAAAGTAACGGATCAGCAGTGGGTAGCGAGGGTGTCTAAGGCAGGAACCTCTGTGGGAAGAGAACACACTATGAACTATGAACATGTGAGTCACTAACCAGGTTTAAAGTTCAGTCCGTGCCCAGAGGAAGAGGTTGGTTCCAACTGGTCGGCTGCCAGCAACACGCAGTGGACGCTGCCCAGAGATTCCCAGACGTTGAGGCTGGGAAAGAGGCAGGAGATCAAATCCAAGCAGATGAAGAAAGGCAGGATAATCTAGAGGGCGAAGCTAAGCCAATGTCGAGGAGGAGCACAGGAGATCAGAGATCCAAAGAGGTACTAAAGTGAAATCCAGGACGGTGTCAGGAAGCAGTTCAAGGTTCAGTAAAAAGATAGAATTCTACAGGAGTCCGAAGACAGGTCAGGCAAACAGATCAGGATGGCAACAGGCAGGTTCAGAGGTCCAAAGGCAGAACGGTTAAGGATCAGGCAATCAGAACAAGATCAGGTACGCAAGAGAACACTCATCAAAGGATAATCTGCCACTGATGACTAGTTGAATGCTGATTAAATAGAGGCTGAAGCAGGTGAAACAGGTGAGCGATAAAGAGAAACTTGGCAGAACTTGGCAGGTGAATGGAATGAAGCCAGTCATCAGCCCCAAGATCATGACAAAATGATTTATAGTTTTATTGATTTGTAACATTTTTATATACATCCATCCATAGGGTTAAAATACCTTGACCTTTCCTAAGTCCTTTGCAGAAAAACTAATTATAAGTTACTAAATCTGAAATGTGTGGCGTCCATTTTGCTTCTGCCCACAGTATTTGGGTGTTTACCTCACCCTGCTGCCACCAGCCTGTTTTCCTGTATGGATTTTCTTTTCTTCCATTTATAATACAAAGACAATGGCAAACCTGATCAAATGTTTCATTTTTGAGTAATATTTCAATAAGATAAGATAAAGGATCATATTACTACCTTATAACTACATTCTGAGCTCATGCCTTTTCTGCAAACTTAACCTGTTAACTGTAAAATTCGCCCAAAAATAAGTACTTTAAAACACCTTAAAAAGCAAATATTAAATCTGCTGCTGCTCTTTAACCCTTGTTTTGCATCTAAACTGCCATATAATCCATTTTAATGGTAGACAGCAGCCTTATTGTGACAGAATGAGATTTGAAGGCCTTCGTTCTATGGACGGGGCGGGGAAAGACCTGTTACGTCCAGTTAAATGACCCTGAAAGCCCCTAGCAACACTATAGTGTTGTAAAATTGAAAAGTCTCCCTCAGTCTTTTGGAATCTGCTAGCAGACCGCTTTGGAGCAGCACATTGAGAAGTTATGAAGTTCCTGGTAAAGACAAAACCCCATTCTTCCCTCAATCGTTAGAGAACCAGAAATATGTGTTGCTCAGGTAAGAGTCAGATCTGTTTTGTTGGTTACAACCAAATTTTAACGTTAGTTCTCCTTTCTGCTGTAAAGTGTCGCTCTGAGTCACATGACCCATTCAGTGATGGATCCGACCCTCTCAGGTTACATAGGGGGAGACTGAGAAAAGCAGCCTCTGTGGAGCATCATGAAGCACCTAGTGCTGAAAACGGACCTGAGAAATCATTAAATGTGCCTCAAATTAATCAACATTTAAGCAGTGTTGCTTTAAGTGTTTAATTTCCTGACAGTTCTTCATATTCCAGGTTAAACTTCTTGAGATTTTCTAAATTATATTTAATTTTTTCTGTTTTAGAATTAATAGAGGTTTTAATAAAGATTTTAGATGCTTCAGGATTTTGTTCCAATATATTTTCATGTGTTTAACATCATCTCTGTGCAGAGAGGTATCCTGAATAGAAAGACTCGGAAATTCAAAGGCCAATAAAATCATCATATGGCCATTAGAAGGTGGAAACTCTTAGAGGTGAAGAGATGGAAACTGCAAAGGTAGGGAAAGGGATGAAACCTGTAAAAAAGAGAGAGAGGACGTAAGCCGTAAACTGTCTGGTCACTTTCCGTCTAAAGAGGGCATGTTTTACTGTATTTATTATAAGTGGAGTCAGGGGGACTGCACCATTCA